GGCTACCACCCATGACCATCCTGACAGGCAACACAACACAGAGTCCCTGATGGAGCAGGAGAAAAGTGGGGTGAAGAACTCAAATTCTAGTAAAAAGACTAGACTTAATGGTCTAAGACTGGAGGAACCCCAGAAAGCATGGCCCCCAGACTCTCTGTCAACCCAGCACAAAAGCCACTCCTGAGGCCAACTCTTCAGGCAAAGATTAGACTCGACTATGGGACATAAAATGATACTTGGAAGAGCGTGCTTCTTAGCTCAAGTAGATACATGAGACTAAACGGGCACCTCCTGTCCGAAGGTGAGATGAGAAGGCAGAGAGTGTCAGGAGCTTGCTGAATGGACATGGAAAATCAGGGGTGGAAAGGAGGAGTGTGCTGTCACAGTATAGGGAGAGCAATTAGGGTCACATAACAATGTATGTATAAATTTTTGTATGAGAGACTAACTTGAATTGTAAACTTTCACTTAAACTACAATAAGATAAAATAAATAAATAAAAATTAAAAAAAGAAGATGAACGAATACACAGAGTCACTATACCAAAAAAAATTGGTCGATGTTCAACCATTTTAGGAGGTAGCATATGATGAAGAACGGATGGTGAAGGAAGAAGTCCAAACTGCACTGAAGGCAATGGAGAAAAACAAGGCTCCCAGAATTGATGGAATATCAATTGAGAGTTTCAACAAATGGATGCAGCCCTGAAGGCCCTCACTCTTCTATGCCAAGAAATTTGGAAGAGAGCTACCTGACCAACTGACTAGAACAGATCCTTATTTGTGCCCATTCCAAAGAAAGGTGATCCAACAGAGTATGGAAATTATCAAATATCACTGATATCATACACAAGTAAAATTTTGCTGAAGATAATGCAAAAGCGGTTGCAGCAGTACATCGACTGGGAACTGCCAGAAATTCAAGCCAGACTCAGAAGAGGACATGAAATGAGAAATATCATGCCGATGTCAGGTGGATCATGGCTGAAAGCAGAGAATATCAGAAAGATGTCTACCTGTTTTTTATTGACTATGCAAAGGTATTCGACTGTGTGGATCATAACAAATTATGGGTAACATTGTGAAAAACAGGAATTCCAGAACACTTAATTGTACTCATGAGGAACCTGGATATAGACCAAGAGGCAGTCGTTTGAAGAAACGAGGGGATACTGTGTGGTTTAAAATCAGGAAAGGTGTGTGTTAGGATTGTATCCTTTCACCATACTTATTCAATCTGTATGCTGAGCAAATAATCCGAGAAGCTGAACTATATGAAGAACACGGCATCAGGACTGGAGAAAGACTCATTAACAACCTGCGATATGCAGATGACACAACCTTGCTTGCTGAAAAGCAAAGATGACTTGAAGTACTAACTGATGAAGATCAAAGACTACAGCCTTCAGTATGGATTACACCACAATATAAAGCAAACAACATCATGATAAATGAAGATCGACATTTTCAAGGATTTCATTTTACTTGGATCCACAATCAATACCCATGGAAGCAGCAGTCAAGAAATCAAATGATGCATTCCAGTAAACAAATCTGCTGCAAAAGACCTCGTAAAGTACTAAAAAGCAAAGATGTCAGTTTGATACTGAGGTGTGTCTGACTCAAGCCATTTTATTTACAAATTCCACATATGCATGCAAAAGCTGGACAATGAATAAGGAAGACCAAAGAAGAACTGATGCCTTTTAATTATGGTATTGGCGAAGGATACTGAATATACCATGGACTGCCAGAAGAACGGACAAATCTGTCTTGGCAGAAGTACAGCCAGAATGCTTCTTAGAAGCAAGGATGGTGAGACTTCGTCTCAAGTACTTTGGACATGTTATCAGGAGGGATGAGTCCCTGGAGAAAAACATGCTTGGTAAAGTAGAGGTTCAGAGAAAGAGAGGAAGATCCTCAACGAGATGAAATGACACAGTGGCTACAAAAATGGGTTCAAACAGCAATGACTGTGAGGATGGTGCAGGATGGGACAGTGTTTCATTTAGTTGTACACAGGGTTACTATGAGTCGGAACTGACTCCATGGTACCTAACACCAACAACAACAAAATAAACTTAGGATAATTCTTAAATAAAATACTACTCAGAAGCATTTTCACACTACCATGTTGAATTATGTTCCCATATATATTTTCTCCAAAATGCAAATAAATATATAAATTTATTTTTTCCTTGCTCAAATTTCCCTTCTGGCCATTCTTAGCTGGAAAATTCAGAGAGGATTATACTTTAAAAAGTATATATTCAAAAACTGCCATTACTTAGGTTCAAATTTAGTCACCATATTTTTTTTTTATTTCAAATAATATTAAAGGAATTTTTTAATCAAAATGGAATGCAATTTTTCAAATATTTTAGCAATACTGGGTAGGCAGGATGACTTCATCAAAAGTAATTCTTACTGAAGAAGAGATACCATTACTGTATCACTAATGAACATGTTCACCCAGGTTCAGGTATTTCTACTTCAACATGATCTTAATGGGTTTTTTCCTCATGATACTTCTTTGATTTATCCTCTTCTTGATTCCACATTTGTACTTATAAGTTTATCATTGCCTATGCTGACTAGTAATACTACCATAATAATACTGGCTTCATTAAGTTCATGAACTTCTGAAATTGTTTGAAAAAAAATTGGAGATTATGCACTACTGGGAATCCCTAGGTGGTACACCTCGAAACAAAGGTCTGGCAATCTACTTCCGAAAGTCAGCCACTGAAAACTCTATGTAGCCCAGTTCTACTTGGTACAAATGGAGTCACTATGACTCATCAACTGGTTATTTTACACACTATTTCACTATGGAGCTCACTTTTGGGAAATCTGCATTTGAAGTCTGAAGTTTTAAGCGTGATGAAGCCTCACACGCCTATACATGTTATTTCCATAAACTCTCACCATTCGCCCATTGATAAGATATTAAAAAAAAAAAAAAAACCATAAATGTCAAGTTAATTCCGACTCATAGAAACCCTAAAGGACAGGGTAGATCTGACACATAGGTTTTCCATGGCTGTAATCCTTACAGAAGCAGACTGCCATATCTTTCTCCTGAAAAGCAGCTGGTGGGTTTGAACCACTGACCTTTTCAGTTAGCAGCCAAATGCTTAACCACTGAGCCACTAGGGTTCCTATGATAAGACAGAGCGAGAAGTAAAATAAAAAATGAATAGCTGTGCGTTTTCTATAATATTTATACCCCATAGCTTATTAACATATTACTATTTATGAATAGAACGGTGTTTAGATCACAGCTAAAAAACTTCAAGGAATGTAAATTGAAATGTCACTAAAACCACTTTTTAAACAGAAAACATGAAAAACAGAGGTCCACATCACATAAGGGAGCTTAAGAATTAATAGTGATAGTAGTCATAACAAAATATCTTTCATAATAAAGTAAAAAGTACAAAGGCAAGTATTTTTTGGCAAATATCTTTATTATATATCATAGTGTAATGGATTAGTGCAGAGTGTATCTTGAGTCAATCTCTTTTGACATATAAAAAGAGTTTAAACAAGCAAGCCAAGTAGCAGAGGTGAGAAAATGGATTGAACTGTATCAAAAGAAAAAAAGAAAAAAAGTGTTGTAAATCCTAACCTCTATGCCTGTGGATATAATTCCATTTGGGAATGGGTTGTCTTTCTTACTTTAGTGAGGCAGGATTAGTGTAGGGTGTGTCTTCCCTCAATCTCTTTTGAGATATAAAAGAGATAAAACAAGCAAGCAAGGGAGCAGAGATGAGAGAAGATAGATGCCATACCACATGATCACCAAAGAGTCAAGGAATAAGGACCTTCCCCCAGAGCCAACAAAGAGAAAGTCTTCCCCTAGAGCTGGTGCCCTGAATTCGGACTTCTAGCCTCCTAAACTGTGAGAGAATAAATTTCTGTTTGTTAAAGCCAGTCACCTGTACTATTTCTGTTATAGCAATACTGGATAACTAAGACACCAGCTAAAAAAATTTAAGAAAGAAATGCAAATTGAAATGTCACTATTAACAACTTTTTAAACAGAAACTATGAAAAACAGAGGTCAGCATCACAGAAGGGAACTAAAGAACTAAAAGTGATATCAGTCATAACAAAGTATCTCTAATAATACAGTAAAAAGGACAAAGACTAGTATTTTTAAGCAAATATCTTTATTACATATCTTAGAGCTCATCATCTGCTGACATAACTATATAAAGGATTTATGAACCTGTCATGTCATGTGAGAAATGATAAAAGGAACTGAGAATGTTTATCCTGGAAGAGAAAAGACTCAAGGTAAATATGAAGGGTCTTCAAATTCCTCATGTGGGAAACAGCAACAATTTATTCTGTGCATCTATTCTATTCAGTGCATCTAAACCACAGGGAAACAAATGTCAACTCAATAGCATGGCTGACTTCGGAAGAAATAAGCACACCACCTAGCAAGGGCTGTGGATACCTACCAGGGATACTAAAAAGAGGACTCCTAGATGGAGTGTTAGATGAGATGATTTTTAAGACCTCTTTCAACTCTCTCATTTAATAAATCTACCAATCAGAAATAAGCCTATTAGAAAATAAGTCTTCTCTAAATACGTTTTCTAAGCAGTGTTGGTACAACAGTTGTAGAAAATGAAATCATTCTTTCTTTACCTCTACCCAAACTGAGATAAACCCAATTAACACTTACCGACTAGCCTTAAGTAAATTTAAGTTTAAATACCATCTCTCCACAATATATATAATTTATTAGAGTAATATTATTTTATGCAAATATTTCTCTCCAGGTGTCTACTTTTACAAGTCCACGATAAAACATGTTGATGATCAGACCACACGGACTGTATACAAATATTACTCAGATCCAATGAAAGAAAGGCAAATTACTGTTTTGGTAGGCCAATCAGAAAAATCTTGAATCTCAACTTCACTCAACAGTATATGCTAAACAAGTTAATATAAATCACATTTAAGTACACTGAACTTCATTACCTCTGAGTTAGCATATTCTGCTTGTAACTGTTTGCATTCATCTTTCAGTTTTTCAGATTCTCTCTCACGTTCCAAGGTCATGCTGTCCATTAGTGTTTGAACTTGGACAAGTTCTCTCTTAAGCACAGCAACATCTTCTATACCAGGTCTCTGAAGCTGTGAAGCAACACATTGTAATTAAAAGTGAAAAGCTAATTAGCACAAGCTTTTAGAATGGTTTCACTCAAAGAAATCAAAATGAAAACAATATCTAAAATCAATTACTGGATTCAAAACATTAATCACAGATACCCGCCCCCCAACAAGCCACCTCCTCTTTCTGCTCTCTCTATCTCAAATTTAATGTTACCCCTCAAGGTGCAACACTAGCAAATTCATAAATATCTTTAGTGCTTTACTTTTTTTTCTCTCCTTCACAGACTAAGCCTATTGGTCATTACAGTCACACAATAGATGCTACATTCCTTCATGTCCCATCCTAGGAAATGAGGAATAAAAATGAAGCAGCAGCATATGTAAACATAATCACAGTTTGCTGCCGGTTGATGTAATGGATCCATTTATTTATGTATTTATTAAGTGCTAAATAAAGGACAGAAAGGAGTAAAGGATAGATTCAAGGTTAAGACTGAGGAGAGTGTTGATGATGCATGATGTCCATGACAGAAATACAGCTATAACAATCCCACTCCTAGAAACATATCCTAGAGAAGTAACAGCCATCACACGAATAGACATATGCACACCCATGTTCACTGCAGCATTGTTCACAACAGCAAGAAGATGGAAACAACCTAGATGCCCATCAACAGATGAATGGATAAACAAACTATGGTACATACACATAATGGAATACTATACAACTAAAAGAACAATGATGAATCTGTGAAGCATCTCATAAGACAGATGAATCTGGAGGGCGTTATGCTGAGTGAAATAAGTCAATTACAAAAGGACAAATATTGTAATAGACCACTACTGTAAAAACTCGTGAAAAGGTTTGCACACAAAAAGAAACAATCTTTGATGGTTACAAGGGAGAGGAGGGGTGGGAGGGGGGACACTAGATAGACAATAGGTAAGTGGTAACTTTGGTGAAGGGTAAGACAGTACACAATACTGGGGAAGCCAGCACAACTTGTACAAGGAAAGGTCATGGAAGCTCCATAGACACAGCCAAACTCCCTGAGGGACCGAACTGCTGGGCAGAGGGCTGTGGGGACCATGGTCTCGGGGAACATCTAGCTCAATTGGCATAACACAGTTTATAAAGAAAATGTTCTACATTCTACCTTGGTGAGTAGCGTCTGGGGTCTTAAAAGCCAGTGAGCGGCCATCTAAGATACTCCACTGGTCTCACCCCTTTGGGAGCAAGGGAGAATGAAGAAAACAAGACACAAGGGAAAGGACTAATGGACCACATCTACAACGGCTTCCACCAGACTGAGTCCAGTAAAACTAGATGATGCCCAGCTAATACACCACTGACTGCTCTGACAGGGATCACAAGAGAGGGTCCCAGACAGAGCTGGAGAAAAATGTAGAACAAAATTGTAACTCAAAAAAAAGACCAGAGACTGGAGAAACCTTGTGAGAATGGCCCCTGTACATCCTTTTAGATCAGTAATGAAGTCACTCCCGAGGTTCACCCTTTAGCCAAAGATTAAAACATAAAACAAAATGAGACTAAAGGGGCACAACAGCCCAGGGACAAGGACTAGAAGGCAGGAGGAGACAGGAAAGCTGGTAATAGGGAACCCAAGGTCAAGAAGGGAGAGTACTGACATGTCATGGGGTTGTTAACCAACGTCATAAAACAATATGTGTACTAACTGTTTAATGAGAAACTAGTTTGTTCTGTAAAGCTTCATCTAAAGTACAATTTAAAAAGAAAGAAATACAACTATGAAGGAAATACAATTAATTTTATACTTATTGAATTTGAAGTGAAAGCTAGAAATGCAGGATATATAAAAACTAAAGCTCAAGGGAAAGTCAGGATCAGAGATACAGGCATGGAAACCACTAAAAAGACAGATGGTTATTTAGACAGAAACAACAAAAATGCTAAGGTCATAAATTATGCATTAAAAAATTCCATTTTTAAAAAACACATGTAGTACATATACGTAGGTAGAACTCTACAGGATTTCTTATTTCCTCCATTTTACTCAAATTATATTTTTAAAGGAATCCTTGGGTGGTGCAAACAGTTAGGAAATTCAGCTGCTAACCAAAAGGTTGCTAACCCAGAGAAACCTCAGAAAAAAGGCCTGGTGATCTACTTCCAAAAACTGAGTCACTGAAAACTCTATGGAGCAAAGTTCCACTCTGACACACACAGGGGGTCGCCATGAGTCGGAGTCGATTTAATGACAACTGGTTTATATTTTTAAAAATTTCCCTTCAGAGCATGTATTTGTTTTTTAACTTAGAAAATTACAAAGGTACATCTCAATAAATGGTTTCTAAATTACCAGTTCAGTCTTCAGGTCTTGAATTATAGTAGCCTCTCTGTTCAATTCTTCTGTCAGATGTGTCACTCTTTGTTCAGCAGCTTCTCGAAGACTCCTTTCTTCATCATATTTTGACTTTATATCTAAAGATAGTTATATAAATACTAGTTTCATTATATTAACTTTAAGGAAGGACAGTTTTATAAATTCCTGACTATTACTTTATACAAATATATATTACTCTAATTCAAATGTACATTCTTATATAACCATACATACATAATACCATGAAACTATACTTTTGATTATATTAAAAGCCAAACTTAAAAATGATCAAATCTGGTTTTGTCCACATAATACTAACTATTTAGCATTGATCTTTAGTGTATATTTAATCAAATACAATATTTTACTTAAAAGAATACATATAATTGATAACATAATCAAATGTTGAATCTGTATTATATTATTTAATTTCTTCAAAATTTTACTTATACTTGTAAGCTAATCTCTAAGCATACAACAAAAGAAAATTCGCCTTTTCTAAAATTCAAAAAGAATTCTACAGAGAAAAACAAGTCCTTTGAAGGGATGAGGTGAGGGGAAAGAGAAATTAATTTAGGTAACAACCCTGTTATCATTAAATTCCATTAACCATTACCACAGTCTATAACAACTGTCTTATCATATTAATATAACATGTTTACTTCTAGGATATATAATGGTCAAAAGACAATAAGACCGACTTATTTACTAGGAAATTCTGGTCCCATTTACCTGCAATTTCAGTAGCAAGTTGGGCTGCTTTCTGCTCAAATAAGTCTTTCATTTGCTTAATATTAAAATTTTCTGTTTGGGCTTCTTCTAATTGTTGTTCCAAAGACTGTAGCTCTACAAAAAGTGAAGCAGTTATTTAAATACAATGTTAATTACATTTATTAAATTGTAATTACTTATAATCATTGCAGTAGTTAACAATAAACATGAGTCTTACCCAGTTACAAAAAAAGCAGAGCATTTTTTCACATCTCAAAAATTAAGTATCTTTGACTCATCTAAGGCACAAGTCATAGTTTACAAACATTTTAAACCAAAGAAAGAAATATTTAGAATTTTCCCCAATAATCTGTAAATATTTGTTTAAAGTTGTTTTGCTTTCACATTTGAGTTATTTTTCCGCATCTGTCAACTGAACAAAAAGGAATATATTCTGCTTCTCTAATAAAACTAGTTATAAAGTGTGATAAAATTAGAAATGGCTTAAGAATGATTGACGCCTTGAATAAAACAATTAGTCAACTGCTAATACTTCATTCTCATAAAAGAAAGAGATTTCAGAGAGAAATTAAATACAGTAAGTAACCTCAAAACATATTTACAATATTCACTGAGCATTCCTCCAGTAAAAGACAGCTTGTACAGAGGCTAGCTCCATCATTGTATTTCTAGGCAAGAAGAGTACATAACTCCTTACAACAGATTTAACCTTATATTAAACAACCATTTCACTGTACTATTCCAGAAGTTTATTTCTAACTTTAGAAAATAATAAACTAAAAAATACAAAAATTTGAGCTGACTGATTAAATTATAAAGTCCACCAGTACCTTTCTAAACCTAGAATATCAGCATTATTTTCATTCTTTTAGAGCCATAAAATAGAACCACAAAAAAAAAATTTAGCAGGCATCAAAGAAAAACATGGAAGGAAAAGGAAATATATATATGCTTTAAATAAATTTACCTGCTGATGAATCAGCCACCAATCCATCAGGTTTAGACTCCTCAATGGAAACAAAAGACAAACAAATACATTAAAAGAAAAAGATAACACTGTTACAATTGTCAATGTTGAAAATCTCTGAAAGTCATATTCTGTCAGGTAACTAATAAGATTTTGGTGCAAATTAAAGTTTGATCAGCTCACATTCTTCCACATCTCTAAGGTACCACTACGCAGACTGGTATAATAATTTAACTGCAGTTCACTGGTTCTAAGATAGAATTAAGATGTGTGAAAATTATTATGGGTCTTGGAATAGATGGCACCTTAAATTCCATGAAACCAGTAATAAATAAATAATACAGATTATTATAATATAAATATAGACTCTAAAGCAAATACTGAAGTCAGCAGACAAGAGTCAATCTTATAGTATTTGAAAATTTGCATACAGACTAAAATATGCCATTAAACTAACACTACTAACAAATTTGGCTTTAAAAGGAGACGTTTTTAATTCAGGATTATAACCATCTTTAAAAGAAGTAAAAATAAAAAGCACACTTCACCAGGTTTAATTCATCATGTGCATTAGAAACAAAATAATATACCACCTTGGCATTATTCTCTTGTTTAAAAGAATTATACACAACTGAAATACTTTCAAAAGGCATCTTATAGTACACCTGATTTTTTCTTTTCTTGTACACTGAGAAATTAGACATATTAATTGCTAAGAATCATCAATATTTAAAATACATTCTCCCCCAAAGGTAAATTTCCTACCAAAAAAATTTACACATTGCATTGTGGAGAATTTATTTAATTAATTAAATGGGAAATAGTCACCTCAAATGTAGTAAACAATATCCTCTCTGTTTTCAGGTAGAGAAAATAATACAGCCCATGTATGATTAATTGTTAATGGCATCTAGGTAAAACATGAATAAATGAACTATCAGTATTTTAGATAACTAAAAGGCTCTTTAACGTTAACAGCATCCACAATTAGAGAAGCTGAGTAGTAGTAAAACTGGTATCTTATTATTCATTTATTGGTTTTTGTCTTTTCCAATCAATGACAATTCTTGGTACAAAGAAAAAAGAAGGCTGAGTGAGAGCCACAGTGTACTAAGATAATGCACAAAGGGATCACTAATTACGTTATCAAAATACAGGAACTATTTTTAAAGTGTACCCACTTTATTCCTAAAAATAAAAACTATACAATGGATTCGGCAAAAATCATTATTCTTTATGTACTTTCACTATAAAACTCAATATCGTTTTAGAATAAAAATCACAATTGGTTAAGGCGTTTACTTACAAAATACATTAAAATATAAACAATCTATGATGTCAAAAATAATCCCACCAGTCACAGATAACCACTTTTGATAAAAGTGATTTTGTTTTTTGCTGTTATTTTTATGTAAAGTAACACAGTGCGTGTGTGTGTACATATATATGTATCTTTTATTGTTTTATAAAACCTATCATTAATATGAGTGTTCTCATGTTTTTAAACTATCTTCACTAATATAAATTGTAAACAGATAAACAATAGTCCTTCCCCTACCAACAGACATTCTAGTTATTTCCAATTTGTTACAAACACACATCCACTGAAGAGGTTCATTACTGTTTGAATCTATGAGTTATAACTATTCAGGTATGCTGCCACACAATTAAATAAAGCAGCCTGATATAAAAAACAATCTTTAAGATAACTGATTCTTAACAAAAGCACCTTTAAAAAGTTATATCTTCACTTCCCATGTATTTCTGTACATTTATTAAAATTGCAAAGGACATATGCTGTAGGCTATTAAAAACTGGGAAACAAATTACGAGGTTATTTGTATCAGGCCACCTGCTTATAAACAGGCATTATGCTTAATTTTCAACAATGAAAATAAACAACTAATAAACATGCTTCAAGTATTTGAAAGCAATTACTTGCTGCTGCAACCCTTGAAATTTTTCTAATTCTTTCTTTAATTCTTCCGAGTACCATTTTTCTTCCTAGTGAAAAATAAAAAAGATTTTTTAATTAGTCTTTTTCTTTTATTACCTGAAACACTGAAAATAAACAATTATAATTATTTTTATTCTAACCTTAAGTGAAGCCTGTAGGTCCTGGACCTCTTGTCTCAGTAGTGTTATGTCATCTCTAAACACATATGGAGGGAAAAGGAATTAATAGTTAAAGTCCTTTAATTAACAAGCTGGTCTATTAACAAATCATAGCGAGTGATTACGTATTAATATTCTAGTCTTCTCAAATCTTAAAAAAAAAACTACTGTAGATTTATACATAATGGCATATATATATGAAACTCTTGGAAAGCTCATTGAATTGTTCACAAATGGAAAAACTTTTCTCATGTAAATAATGATATAATTGACTGTCATGTGCCTTAGCCAGAAACAAAATGTCTCTCCATTATCTTACCAACAATAAGCACCAATGGCTTCCTATTCCAGTTAGCATAAAATCTAAACTCATTAAACAAAGCCTATAAAGTCTGCACAATCTAGTCCTTGCCTATTTCTTCCTTATTGCTATCCCCATCATTCACTTAGCTATAGCAACACTGGATTCTTTTGGTCCTTCTTACATTCTGTTCCTCTCACCTAGAACTGAAGCGACAGTATAACAAAGAAAGGCAAGCAGAAGACCACTCTAGACCCTGATGCAGGAGAGAGATCCTGTGAGACAGCACATTTCAGATCACTATTCTGGATGTCAGGGACACATCTTCCCCTGTTGGGCTGTAAACAGCAGAAAAAGGAACTCTCCTTGTTCCGTGCCACTATCAGTGACTGTCATGATAGATGACAGAACTGGAATGGGAACAGGAGTTGATTAAGAATCCTCAAATGAATTGACTTTAATCTAAAGGGAACAGGAAACCAGACTCAGTTCTAACAATAGGGAAGGCCAAGTCCACTATGGAACAAGTATATCCACATAGTAAATAGGACAGACTGGTGGAAGAGTTAATACTGTAGGATGGGGCAGGGATGGTGGATAAAGGCACTGAGTCAGCTTCATCTGTGAAATACGGTTAACAGCAGAAAAGGAGTGAAACTGCCAACAAGAAAAATGTACACGATGGAGGAATGAATCCTCTACTTTTGAAGTCATTCATAAGTAAAGAACTCATTCATTATTCAACATCATTGCCTGCGCAAGACTCTCAAGGCTAATGTGGGAAGTACACAAGTAAACGATAAACTGTAAGGAACCATTATTAGTTCTATGATAGAAATAGAGGCATAAAGATAGTGGTTGATTCTACCTAGAGGACCCAAGAAGGGCTTCATGATGGAGGTAAACTTTCAGGTAAAGTCTTTAATCTTCTGAATGCTAAGATAAAATTAGATAATAGAACCTTCTTACTTTTGTTGACTCTTAAAATTTATCTTTTCTGAAATTTTCACTAGTTTTCATTTCTGTTTTGTGCACGTGTGTGTCCCCCATCCCCGTCTCTTTCCCACGTGGTTCTATAAAATAATGTGATTTGCAAAAACTATGTATCAACTACAGGACACTTAGTCTTTACGTGTATATGGAAATGTGTATGTACCTTAAATTTTTCCCTAATGTTTTTATTATATATGTAAGTTTATGTTTATAGATGTATAGAATATCTCTAGAAGACTACATAAGAAACTGATGAAAAGAAGTGAATGGCTAGGGAAAAGGACAGGCAAGGAGTCAATTTTTACCATGTAACTTTCAAACCATACGAATTTTGTATGACATACATGATACCTATACATACCATTGTGGGTTGAATTGTGTCTCCCAAAAAGATATGTTGAAGTCCTAACTTGCAGTACCTGTGAATGTGACCTTATTTGGAACCAGGGTCTTTTGCAGATGTAATTGGTTAAATTAACATGAGGTCATACTGGAGAGTAAGGTGAGTCCTAATCCAATATGACTAGTATCCTTTTAAAAAAAGGAAAAGAGACACATACAAAGAGACACAAAGAGAAGATGGTCACATGAAGATGAAGGAAGAGATCGGACTTACGTTGCTATAAGTAAGAAATGCCTGGGACCACCAGAAGCTATTGCCTTAGTTACCTAGGGTTGCTATAACAAAAATACCACAAGCAGATGGCTTTAACAAAGAGAAGTTTATTCTCTCACAGTCTAGTAGGCTACAAGTACAAACTCAGGATGTCAGCTCCAGAGGGAGGCTTTCGCTCTGTCTGCTCTGGAGAACGTCCTTATCATCCATCTTCTCCTGGTCTAGGGGCTTCTCAGGCCCAGCGACCCCAGGGCCAAAGGACGTGCACTGCTCCAGCTGCTGCTTTCTTGGTGGTATGAGGTCTCCCTGTCTCTCTGCTGCTTCTCTCTTTTATAGCTCAAAAGAGATCGGCTTAAGACACAATCTAATCTTGTAGATCTCATCAACATTAAGTGCTGTTAATCCATTTCATTAACATCCTAGTGATAGGATTTACAACACATGGGAAAATCACATCAGATGACAAAATGGTAGGAATCATGGCCTAGCCAAATTGATACACACTATTTTTGGGGGACACAGTTGAATCTATGACAGCTATGCAAAGAAGAATCCCTCCCCTAGAGCCTTCAGAGAGATCATGGCACTGCAGACATCTTGATTTTGGACTTCTAGCCTCCAGAACTGTGAGAGAATAAAATTGTTTTAAGTCACTCAGTTTGTGGTACCTTGTTATGGCAGTCCCAGGAAACTGATACACATACATTTTAAAACCCTGGTCCAAAAAAAAAACTACTAATGCATCAGGTTCCAGATATTTTATTGGTATGATGGAAAGGTCTCATGGCCCACCAAAGTCATATGGGCTTTTGATCTTAAAGAAATACCCTGCCCATAGTCACATGTTATGCAATGTTGTTGCTGTGTGCCATCAAGTTGATTCCGCCTCATAGCGGCCCTATGAGACAGAGTAGAACTGCCCCACAGAGTTTCCTAGGCTATAATCTTTACAGGAGAAAATCTCCAGGTCTTTTCTCCCATTGAGCCACTGGGGGATTCAAATTCCTGGCCTTTCAGCTGGAAGCAAAGCACTTAACCATTGCATCAACAGGGTGCCCAATGTGATTGGAAGAGCTTAGAGAGGAACAGGAGGATAAGAAGAAGAGGTACAATAAAAGATTAAGTCTAAAAAAGTAGCCATAGTAACTATTCCATAGGCAAAGAGAAACTACTGAAAGTTACTATTTAGGGCAATAGCAATCAAATTTGCATTTAAGAATATGACTCTGGCAGCAGTATGGAGAATTAATCCAAGAGGTTTAAGACTGATGGCAGAGAGCCAGCTATAAATAATGAAAAACATTTTTGAGTGAGTGATGATGAGGTCTAAAAGTGTAGCAGTGAGGATGAAAAAGAATGGTGAAGATGTTAAGGAGACAGAATTAACTAAACTTTGGGATAGATTAGATGGGAGGTGCAGAGATAGGTATGTCAAAATGGGCACGCCCAAGTTGCTGGCTTTAGTAACTCTTTAAGAGATAGATAATGTTGCCACTCACCAAAAGGAGTAACATAAAGAGCAGGTTTAGAAGAAAATATAATGAACATCAACTCCTGCTTGAGTTGCCAGCCAGCCTGCCTGCTTTAAAGATTTCAGACTCAAGGCTGCAGCACCAACTCCTGCCTGAGTTTCTAGCCTGTCAGCCTGCCCAGAAATGCCTGCCAGATTTCAGATTTGCCAGCCGCCACAATCACATGAGCCAATTCTGTTTTTCTGGAGAACCCTGACTGATACAGGTTTTAGTACTGAGACTGGTTCTGGGGGGGAGAATCTTAAGAATGATTTTTATGAATTGATTCTGGGGTTTCTGGAAGCGGTTCTCTAATCTAATCAGACTGAAAGTCACTAATAACTCTATTTCAAGTGGTAAAGAGGGCATTGATAATTCATGGCATGATGTGGCAATAGAGATACACAAAATCACCACTGGATAATCCTAATAAATTAATCATAAAAGGCAAGGTTCTGGGTGGGCATGTATTTGATACCTTACAACATTTTTGTAAAAATAGTGAGTATAATAAGACTGGATGACTGCTCCGAACTGTGCAAGAGACAGTGGGGAAAGAAAAGGGTGAGATAAGGGCTTCAAATTCCCAGCTCAAGCTCTACATAAATGATCTGAAACTTCTCTGTCTGTCCTGAAAAGAAGTCTTATCTCCTGTAGCCAAGGAAATGAGATTTTTGAAAATCAAACCCAGGGTCTCAACCTGTGAGTGGCTGAATTATAACGCAAATTGAATTCCCAACCTTGCAGAGTGTTTGTTATTCATTTGCTGTACTGATGATTGGGAAGGAATGGGATCCTGAAAATTGGAATGGGGACATATGGGCAGATACCAATGAAGCTGAGGACACTGAATTAAATTCTGCTGGTCTTCCTTGTCAATATAATCAACCCTTCCACCCCCGTCTGAGATCAGCCCTGTTTTGCCTGAGGAAACTATAGTGACCTCTCCTGAGTAGTTGCCTTGCAAGACACTGCTGATTCTTCTCAGGACCTACCTCCACCAAACTCCTTTGCTTCCAGACATATAACTACACTCAAGTACCAGCAAGCCCCAAAAGGTGTGGAGGTACAAAGTCTGATCCATGAAGAGGTGCACGATACACCAAACGAAATGCATGATATCTCCAATTTTTAGAGATGCAAATCTAGGTAATACGTATTAGAATGGATATTAAGGGTATTGGATAATGGTGGAAGGAACATAAAGTTGGATCAGCCAAATTTATTGGTATGGGCCCACTAAGTAGAGATTGTGCATTCAATATTGTACCTCAAGAGGTCAGAAAGGGCCCTAACAATTTGGTTGGTTGACTAAAACATGAACCAAAAGTTGCCCTATACTAAATAAAGCTGAAATGCCAGAACTGCCTTGATATACTATAGAAGAAGATATCCAAAGGTTTATTAAGTGGATTTATCATGTAAGACCTACAAACCTACCCCGTAAGGCTCTTTTTACCACAACTGTTAGAAATAAATTTGTGAGAAGAGCACCAGCCTTAAAGAGCTCTATGGCCACTCTTCTGCGTAGGTCAGACATTAGAGTGGCAACTACTGCCACTGAACTGGGATCCTTAAATACAATGAGGAAAATTAAATCCTGGGGTGGCAGGAGCCAAGCAGCGGCACTTAACTGCCAAAGACAAGGTGAGCATAATTACTATACAGTGGAGCCAGAACAGTAATCAGTGTAGTCTGACTGACAGAGATCCATGTTGTTGGCTAATGGATCATAGTGCTCCTAGAGGAGAAATAGATGAAGGGCCTACTAAATTCTTACTTGATCTATATAAGCTAACAAGTTCTAGGTTAAGTTAACAGAAATATAACGAACTGTCAAAACAGAGAGTTTTGGCCACTCAGTCAATTCCCAGCCATCACCTATGGCCTCATGTGGAGTTCCTTCAATCAGCTGACTAAGGAAGAGAGAACTCAGGTTTACAAATGGTTCTGCGAGATATGCAGGCACCACTGGAAAGTGGATAGCTGCGTCATTACAGCCCCTTTTTGGGAACCCTTGAAGGACAGTGATGAATGGAAATCCTCCCGGGGCAGACCTTCAAGCATCATACCTGGTAGTTCATTTTGCTTAGAAGGAGAAATAGCCAGAGGTATGAGTGTACACCATTTCTTGGGCTGTGGCCAATGTTTTAGCTGGATGGTGAGGGACTTGGAAGGAACATGATTAGAAAATTGGTAGGGGAAAGAGATACGTGGATACACTTCTCTTAACTGGCAAAAAGTGTGAAGATATTTATGTCCCACACGACTACTCACTAAAAGGTGACCACAGCAATCAAGTGGATGATCCATTCTGTGAATACCAGCCAGACTCTTTCCCTCCCCATTCCTCTCATTGCCCAATGGGTTCATGAACAAAGTGCCCACGGAGGAAGGGATGGAGGTTATGCATGGGTTCAGCAACAAAGACTTCCACTCACAAAGGCTGACCTGGCTACAATCAAAGCTAAGCGTCTAACTGGCCAGCAGCAGAGACCAATACTGAGTCCCCAGTATGGCACCACTTCCTGGGGTAATCAGTCAATAACCTGATGGCAGGTTGATTACATTGGACTGCTTCCATCATAGAAGGGGCAGCATTTTATTCTTACTGGAATAGACACTCACTCTGGATACAAATCTGCCCTCCCTACAGGCAATGTTTCTGCCAAAACTAACATCTGTGGACTTACAAAATCCCTTATCCACTGTCACAGTATTCCACACAGCATTGTCTCTGATCATCACCCACTTAACAGCAAATAAAATACAGCAATGGGCCCAAGCTCATGGAATTCACTGGTCTTAACAGGTTGCTTATCAACCTGAAGCAGCTGGCTTAATAGAATATTAGAATACCATTCTGAAGACTCAGTTACTACGCCAGCTTGGTGGCAATATCTTGCAGGCTACAGCAATGTTCTCTAGCAGGCTGTATATGGTCTAAATCATCATCCGATATATGGTGCTGTTCGTCCTATAACCAGGATTTATGGGTCCAGAAATCAAAAAGTAGAAATGAGAGTAGCACCATTCACTATTACCTTTAGTGATCCAACTAGCAAAATTCTTGCTTCATGTCACCAGAACCTTATGCTCTGCTGGTCTAGAAGTCTTAGTTCCAAAGGAAGGTTTCCACTGAACTGGAAGTTAAGACCACCACCTGGTCTCTTTGAGCTCCTTATGCCTCTGAATCAATATACAAAGAAGGGAGTTACTCTACTCCCTATTAACTGGGGTGACTGATCTTGATTAACAAGGGAAAACTGGACTGCTACTGTGCAACTGAGGTAGAAAAGAGTATGTCTGGGATACAGGAGATCCCTTAGGGCATCTCTTTGTAGTACCATGCCCTGTAATTAAAGTTAAAGGAAAGATAAACAAAAACCCAGTTCAGGCAGGAGTACTAATGACCTATACCCTCCAGGAATAAAGGTTTAGGTCACTCCAAGTAAAGAATGATGATCAGCTAAGATGCTTCCTGAAGGCAAGAGAACTATGGAATGGGTAGTAGAAGAAGGTAGTTATAACTACTAGGTATGACCACGTGACCAGCTGCAGAAATGAGGACTATAATTGTTATGAGTACTTCTTACTTTTTTTGTATGTTTGTGTGAGTGTTTGTATCTTTGTTTTCTTACTTTCCTTATACCCTTATCATATAACATAAGATGTAGTAATAACAGTTTACTTCACATTATGATATTTCAGTTTACAGGATATGATGGAGAAGAATGAACATATTGGAGGACTTCGGATGCTCTTCTGGGGACACGGTTTGTGTGTTTTTGGTAACATGCAGGATAACTGCATCATGTTAAGAAGAAGTATGACTTTGTTATTGTCTTTATTTGGAGATTAAGTATGGTTTAAGGAGATGTGTACAGATGCTAAGTTGACAAGGGGTGGACTATGATGATTCGTCTTATGTGTCATCTTGGCTAGGATACAGTAACCAGTTATTTAGTCAAACACTACACTAGGTGTTGTAATGAAGGTATTTTGTAGATGTTAATATCTATAACCAGGTGAGTTTAAATAAAGGAGATTACCCTCGAAAATGTGAGTGAGTCTGATTCAATCACTTAAAGGCCTTAAGATCAAAAACTGGCTTCCTAGGGAAGAAATTTTGCCTCAACACAGAAGCATAAAATGCCTGAATTTCCAGCCTGCTGGCCTGATCTACAAATTTCAGACTTGCCAGATCCCAATTCCTTAAAATAAATTAAATATA